AATCTCTCATATCTAGTTGCAACAAATGACATGTGAAGTTTATGCCGTCGGAGAAAAGCACCAAACAACCGCGCTCTCGCCTCGGTTAGGTAAGTTGAGAGTTTGGATGTGGGAATGCGCTCATATTTGCAATTTCGGTAGTTGTTACCGAGAGCGACGCACCCTCCAGAGACAAAAACCTAAAAGCAGAGTATCATGCGAACCTATAATCGCTATTTCATATGTAAATACTTGCGGATTTTGTTTTATAAAGCTTTAATAAAAAGGCTGGTTAATGTTACTGAGAGCATGCACAAAGATGAGGGAAATGGACTCATAAACAACACTGGTATAGCTGTAACTACCTCCTGTTTACCTCTAAAGGAGAAAAATATCCGCTGTATAAAACCGCTCAGAGATTAAATCCACAGCATCCTCACAGCCAGAGCTCTTCATGTTGGGTTTTCTGTAATTTGGCATAAAGTGCCAATATAGGGGGCACAGGGACATTATCCCCCTCTCTAGGGAATATGTAGAAGGTAGGAAAGATTAGGTTTGGATTTTGGGGCTTTGTCTCTGGAGGGTGGGTCACTCTCGGTCGCAAATACATTTTTATGCTCAGTTTTACTACTTTGGTTCAATGAACTCTCTGGGGTTAATTTCATCTCCTGATACAAGTAATGTAAAATGGATTGGAGGAATGTTTTATGTTCAATCTTACTTTCAGGTCAGCTTGGTTGAATTTATCAATGCTGACAAATTGTTTGTATGAAGCCTGTGGCTATGACCTTTTTATATTTGTGTAATTTTCATTCTCCTTTGTCATTATTCAGGACCTTGAAACTCAGAGTTGTGCATCATCCCACTTCTTTGTTTATTAAAATGTTGATAATCTTAATTATGCCTTGTGTGTTCATAATCTTTGTGTGATGATTATTTGAAGGTAGTCCAGTTCATGTTTTATGTTAGAATAATGAACATGTAGTAGCATGAATGTAATGTCTATTAGAAAATACCCAACTGTAGGAGTGGCTGACACGCCCAGGGATTGGCTAATACCTCAGATGCACGTTGCAAAGTTTCAGGTTTGTATTATTTGTGACACGACCTGCAGTAGCAGTGCAGTGATCAATATCTAATACTTTAGCCCAGTATCAGTATCACCGTAGGATATGTTACTAGTAACCCATTGCTTCTAGATGGCATGTCCTGTGTAATGCCATGCTGAGGAGGGCTGTTTCACCGAGCATATGCGTGTCATGCAATCATTATATCAGTCCAATCACAGTTACAGTCCTTTTAGCAAGTAGATACACCCTACAACACCCTAAAGGAATAGGTTCTTTCATATGGACATGATGTCCTCCCTGGGGATGGCCTCCCCCTAAACATAGTTGATGGATGGGAAACTTCACCCTTAATAAATGCTGGAAAAGCTTACAGGTCAGCTGAAAGTCTTGCTTCAAGTGCTTTGTGTACTCATGATAAGACGTCCCCATCAGTTGACGCCCGGCAACATTTTCCCACGGTAAGACATTCCCATCCCATGTCTAAATATTTTTCCATAATGAAATGTGCTGGTTGCCTGCCCTTCAACTAATTTTTGCTTAGCCATGTGTCCATGTCACCCAGATCCAACATGTTAGATGCAGGGAAAATTATTAATGTTGAAAGTAGCTGTTTAAAGGGAGAGGAGAGGATCTTAGGGCAAGGGCAAGGGATGAGTTGATGAGTGCAGTGGCTGTTGATGGCTTAGAAAGTACGTAGACATCCCAACAGGGTTTAGAGATTGAGGAGATCTTGAGGAGGGATGAAAGATACCACACAGTACCAAGTATGCTAATTTACCCTCACTGCATCCTATTCACTGAAATAGGGTGGGGAAACAACCCACAAGTTTTTAGTCCAATGTCAGCGGGTTTATATACTGTCCCCTTTCGATTTTAGTGAATTTTGTTACATACAGATGACCCCACATGTGCTCAGTCAACATTAGTAACTGATCCTGATGGAGCTTTCAAAAAATGAAGGAAAAGGGTAAACAGATGAGATAGGTAAGACTAATACCTGACTCCTTGGTGACTAAGCACTTGTAGAGCCATATATGTGTAAAGACAATAGATAAACTTTTATTACAGTGGACATGGCATTGTAGCCTTGCCACCCGCTGACATTGGGTTAAAAGCTGATAATCATCTGAGGTAATATAGCTCTTAAGGGTATCTGACCTATTGGCTCAGTGAAGACAACTTACATTTTAGGGGTTGAATTATAACATTTTAGCCTAAAAAAATGATAAGAAAATTTACTAAATTGACATTGTTTTTGGTTTTACTGGTTGGAGATGATTTCCATAAATGTGTCTTTTCTCATATACTGTGCATATAAATATAGAAGGATGAAGGCAATTTTTCCACTTTATACAGCCAACCATATATGTTTACTGAATCATACAGTGCACATAATATGGTGCCCAACAGTTTTGAGACAGTGTTCTCCAAGGCAGTGTGTAAAAACACTTCTTTATGGTAATTCTTTCAAATACAGAAAGAGACAAAGTCCTCAACTCTGTGTCACAAAATTTAATTAACAATTTAAATTGCAGTGGCTGGGCATTCCCTTCAGGCACTGCCCAAGGAGAGGGTTGATGGGGGTGAGGGTAGGGGTGGGTGGTTCCCCATTTTTTATATTACCAATTTCTGTGCATACTATTTTGGTCTGGCTAACCCTGTAATAGCAGTTGCCATGAGACAGGCCCAGGAAAAGTTCTTTTCTCCATAGCTCTGGTTTGCTACAATGATTTTCATATTGGTATAAGATTATTAGACTAAAAAAGTGTAAAGTTATTTATTCATGCTACATATACTGTAGCAGAATAGAACTGGGACTGGTTACTTATTAGATAATAGATTACCAAGGAGGCCTATACGTTCTTGCTTTATGTGGTGGTGGTTTGACTATCTTTGCTTGATCACCTAAGGCATGGAAATTAGAAAAACCTGATTGTAGATTATGCGTAGATAAGTATCTGCAGTATATTTTGTGTTTTGTCTTCCAGATTACGCTAGCATCAGGTAGTCATGGCTGCAGATATGTCTCTTCCTTGGCCAGCCAACATTCCAGAACTTAAGGTACTAGTATTTCATTCAGTCATGAACTTCTTTCTTTATTATATAATTTTATGTGGTAAAAAGAATATATAGTAAACTGATGAAATACAAACAATTGTCAGAATTTCAGAGTACCACAACCAAGCATCTAATTCTCCTCATCTTGGAGATATATTTAAGGGTACCAAGTGCCTACATATGCTCCTGTTTCTTTTTAGTTGTAAAGAGGGAACACTTTCAGACTATATATATATGTGTGTGTGTGTGTACATATATATATGTATATATATATATATATATATATATGTGTGTGTGTGTGTGTGTGTGTGTGTGTGTGTGTGTGTGTGTGTGTGTGTGTGTGTGTGTGTGTGTGTGTGTCTCTCTCTCTCTCTCTCTCTCTCTCTCTCTCTCTCTCTCTCTCTCTCTCTCTCTCTCTCTCTCTCTCTCTCTCTCTCTCTCTCTCTCTCTCTCTAACTCTCTCTCTCTCTCTCTAACTCTCTCTCTCTCTCTCTAACTTTCTCTCTCTCTCTAACTCTCTCTCTCTCTCTAACTCTCTCTCTCTCTCTAACTCTCTCTCTCTCTCTCTCTCTCTCTCTCTCTCTCTCTCTCTCTCTCTCTCTCTCTCTCTCTCTCTCTCTCTCTCTCTCTCTCTCTCTCTCTTCTCTCTCTTCTCTCTCTTCTCTCTCTTCTCTCTCTCTCTCTCTCTCTCTCTCTTCTCTCTCTTCTCTCTCTTCTCTCTCTTCTCTCTCTTCTCTCTCTTCTCTCTCTCTCTCTCTCTCTCTCTCTCTTCTCTTCTCTTCTCTTCTCTTCTCTCTCTCTCTCTCTCTCTCTCTCTCTCTCTCTCTCTCTCTCTTCTCTTCTCTCTCTCTCTCTCTCTCTCTCTCTCTCTCTCTCTCTCTCTCTCTCTCTCTCTCTCTCTCTCTCTCTCTCTCTCTCTCTCTCTCTCTCCCCCCCCCCAACTTGATTTTTAGAATATGCTAGTAGAATTTAGAATGTCAGTAGAATATAATGCAATTGATGAACTATTTGCAACCAAATATGCAATTTCAGTTAATCTGAAACAACTTTGAACATCACTTTACTCACTAAAACTGTGTTATTTATTATATTCACTTAAACTTTATGATACAACTAAAATAGTGTTACTACAACTCTTATTATCTTTACTTTATTAACTTTATTTTTTGCATTAACCCTTTGCCGACGGGCATGGCATGTACGTACATGCCATGCCCATTGTGAGTTTACTTGTTTGATTATTTTTACACATAGATGGTTACACTTATTTAACAAATATTTAACGTTATCTTATTTTGCTGTTAAAATTGTTTATAACATTATAGTAAGTATAATGTTTATAGTAAAAATAACACCATCTATATTTATAGCGAATACTAATGTTATACATGAAAAGAAAGCTCAGAAATTATGCTTGAAACTTCTCTTCAACTTCTTTATCTTTGTTACTGACAGTGAATCAACTTTTCTCTATTACTAATTGTATCCCTCGAGGTTTTGTGATTTCTCATAAACAGTCAAACTCCATGTCTAATCTCTTAATAACTTAGCTGTAGGTATATCCACATTCTTTACTTCTTCACCTTTATCTTTAAATATTATCTTTTCATCTCTTACTGTCAGCACCATTCTACACTAGAATTATGGTTTGGGAGAAAGAATATCAATAAATTTTCAAGCCTCTAAATTTACATCATACCTGTTCCTCTTTTTTTACAGTTTTGACATTTTGTTCTAGAAGCTTTACAGGTTGGGATTGGCAATATCTTTCAGTAAGAAATTTAAAGCTTTTATTCACAGGTAGAATTTTCCCTTAGAGCTTGATCTACCCATGTTTGAAATCAGGTGTAGTAGTTGGTCAAAAGAACTTTCAGATTGTGTACCTGACTTTCAACAACCTGTCAGGCAACCTCATAAAGATGTTTAAAAATGTGGAATACAAGACTTAAATGATGTGATGAGAGCTTACTTTTACTTAGAAACCTCAAAACTCTTGTCCATAATTTCTTCCTAAATCGTATAGTCTTCACTCATTCTAGAAAAAAAACATCTATCAGCAGCTAAAAAAGTGGACTAAGAACTCTTATTTACCAATAGCAGTGTCTGGGAACATCAAAGGACTTATCCTTTCATTGTCTACCCATCATTATATTTGCTCTTCCCTTCTTATTTATATTTACTTCACCATTTGTAAGCATGCATGAATTGCTAAAAGCACATGTCAGTTTCAAGACACTGATTTAGCACAAGAAATCATTATTGAAATCAATCACTCTCTTTTCATCATTATCGCAGATGGAGCTCAAGATGACAACTTTGAGTTTATTATTATTTTTATGTCATTGTTTATAATAGTAATGAAATGTAATTGTTAAATTTATTTGATGTATGCAGAGGCTGGATGAGCTTCTACGATGTGGAATCTGTTACGACTTCATGTCCACATCGATGGTTACAGCTTGCTCCCATAACTGTAAGTTTTCTTATTTGAAATATTTAGTAGATTGACTGAGTATTCATATATTGAGGCTTTTCCCAAGGATTTTTGTGGGCATTGACTCCCTCCTTAGTGTGGGAGATGCTAACTCAAACCCACCGGGGAAGGGATGTACGTACACACCATGTCCACTGTGAGTTTAGTTTAATAATTATATTCACATATAGTTGGCAGTTATGAATAATACCCATCTTACTTGTTTACCCTTTTTTTTTTTTTTTTTTTTTTTTTTTTTTGCTTGTAGTATTGTTATGAACACTAATAAGTATAATGTCATTAATAATAATTTTTTATTCAATATTGAAAAAAAAAAAAAATCCTGATAACTGAAGGAAAGGGGAGGTCCCATATGTTCACTAATTGTCTCCTTGGTGGTTTTGCACTTTCAGAAGCCATCTAGGTGTAAGTAACACATGATCCAGTAAACTGTAATGTGTTACTTTATATGGTTAGATTATGATTTTTTTTTTACATGGGGGGGGGGGATGTCAAGACTTGTAGACTAGAAAAATATGTGTATATCAGAGTGTGGAAATAGATGCAACAATCATAAATTACCCCAGAGAGAAATTACAGGCATTTTTGTTTATACTAGACAAGTCAGATTACAGATTACTGCTCTTGCTTTTGACCACACATTAGCTGCAAAAATATTGTATCAGTTATGTTGTAAGAATAATATATTCAATTAATTTTTTTCCTTATGCTCACAATTTTAGTATGCATTCATATATATTTGATTTTTCCAATATTTTGGGGCATGTCTGCCATTTTACTGTCTTGAAAGAAACCCTCCTTCCGAATAGATTATTCTACAAAGATGGTCTTTTGTGCTAGTCTGTTGCTATGTTTTTCAGACTGTTCCCTGTGTATTCGTCAGTACCTCGACTACAAAACTCAGTGCCCTGCTTGCTTCAGTGAAACTACCAGTCAGCAACTCCGCAACAACAGACTTCTTGATGAAATTCTTGGGCTTTTTCCAAATTTAAGGTATGTTAAAAAGTTTTCAGTATTTGCTTGATATTTTGACTTATTTTGAAGAATATAGAATTAAGACAATATTTTTTTTTTTTTTTTTTTTTTTTTTTTTTTATGGCTTTGGTGAAAGTTTACATATTTACAAATGTTTGCATGAAATTATCAGAAATTAGAGACATTTATGGCATATATAAATTAATTTGGATTTACTTTACCAGACGGACATTTTAAGCATATATTTACAGGGATAAGGTAGCTAAGCTGTGCCAGACCACAAAGGGAAATAGCATTACCAGCTATTTAGAAAGCAAGGAATTGGAAAACCAAGAACCAGTAGATGAGCATATTAATACCACAAGTGCTTCGTCAAAATATCAGGAAGATTCAGCTGGTTCACCTAAAGCAACATCAGTGAAAGATTTTATGTCATCACCAAGGTACATAGATTATGAGAGGGAGTGGTTAATAAAAAAAAATCTAATTTCTTGGGTATGATCTTAAAATCACAGGAGTGCAAGTGCCAAAATTATTGCTTTGAATAATTAATAATTAAAGTTGACACATATTTAAAAAAAATAACATACTGCCTTACTAAATGAGATAGTGAAGTGATTCAAGAGGAAGATGTAGTTTGTCCAGTAATAATTTTGATAGTAACAAATAAACAAATAGGAAACTAATATGAATATTGTTTATTGCAAACAATTAAGATACCAGACCAAAAGTTGATGTTGAAAGTCAGGGAAAAGGGTAACATATCCTACAGTCACTTAAGAACCCCCAAAATCACAAGGAATAATTCAAAATGTAAGTTATGTAAATCCTTGTCACCAAAGGCACCTCACCCCATGGTTTCCCAATATTGTAGCTAGCAACAGCACTACCTCCCCACCCCCACCCTGCTCCACATTTCCACATGAATGTGGATGAAAATGATAGCAACTATTTTCATCTGTATAGTTTCTGCTTTGATCTTATGAAGGATGTATACTCTTAGTATGTATGTATATTTTATTATTATTATTATTATTATTATTTTCATCATCATTATCATGGTTATTGTTATTATCATTATTATTATTATTATCATTATCATTATTATTACTATTATTATCATCATCATCATTATTCTTATTCTTATTCTTATTATTTTTCATAATGGGAATAAGAGAAGTTCATGTAAACATAATCTAAAATAAATGGCAGAGGGGATGGTGACAAGTGTGTTAACCCAATGCCGCTGGGGAAAATGAACAAAAAATGGGGAAAATGTTGTGCCCACTTTCTATATTTTTCGTGAAATGTCTGCCGATAGATGGCTCTGCTAGCGCCTGATTTGAAATGGCGGGAAAAACGTATTTTTCACTAGTGCTACAAAAATCGCTGGTGTTATTTTTATCACAAACATTATCATTTTTATAATGTTTTTTAACATTAGTAACAGCAAAATAAGATAACGTAAAATATTTTGTAGATCAAAGAAATGGGTAAACGGGCGAGACGGGCAGTACTCGTAACTGGCTCATTGGGGAGTTAGTACAAGTGTTGCCATCTATGTGTAAAAACAATCAAACAAGTACTCACGGTGGGCATAGCACGTACGTACACGTCATACCCGTCGGCATTGGGTTAAGAAGTGCCTTGAATTGTGTCTTTGTTTAGATAATGATAAAGGTGTAATTATTTATAACCCTACCTTAATTGAGTTTTCATAGTGTATTGTTCTTTTGTAGGTATTTTCAGACTTTTACTTTTATTTTTATACTTTTTATACTTTGGTTAGACTGTGTAAATAAAATTACTTAACTAAAATCACAGTGGACATGCATGTATCTACATGCCATTCCTGGTGGTGATGTGTTAAAGTATTTTTAATGGAAAATAGTTTGGTGAAACTAACATTGCAAAGGGCATTCAAGTAAGCCTAATGCCCATTACACTTACCCTTAAATAAGAAAATTAAGGGTAATAAAACTTCATCAGTCCACATGCCCAATACAGTATGAATTTTATGATTTTTGTACAAATCTCAAAATATTCTCTTAATACAGATAATTGAATGATATTGCAGAATTGGTAAAACTCCTATGGATACCCCTAAAAGAAACTCTGGAAAGTCCCTGTCATCAAGTAACAACCGTACACACTTGAGAGGAAGCCAGGCAGAACCATCAACTTCAGGTTTCTCTAGCACAACTAGTAACCCGAAATGGGCTTCTGGATCACCTGCTAGTATTTTTAATTCTCAGTTATCATCTCCAGTATCATCAACACAAAGTACACGCCAAACTGCTTCTGGGCACTTCTCCATTCGCAATGATCTGTAAGTAAAATGTATTTTAATGACCTGCCCAAAGTTACAGTGACATTTGCACAAACCTTTGATTAAAGTTTTGTATAGCACTACAGCAAAATACTATTGTGATAGGTAGTCTGTTGTTAATAATATAAATCATATTGACTTTTCATTGTATTCACTTTAATTCAGTGATTGAATTTATTTAGAGTGGTGTTTATTTTTCAGTTCAACAGTAAGTGGAGGACAGGATGAATCCAGAGTCAGTTGCCCAGTGTGTTGTGTAGAAGTACCAGAAAGAAACATAAATCTTCACTTGGATGCATGTCTGAAGCGGATGGAGAAGGGAAGTGAGGAAGAAATGTAAGAATAGTTCCCTTAGTATGAATTAACTGGGGTAAATGCTGTGCTCATTTTTTATTTTTTTTAGTATGAATTAACTGGGGTAAATGCTCTGCTCATTTTTTATTTTTTGTGAAATGTCTCTGCACATAGATGGCTCTGCTAGTGCTTAGCCAAAGGAATCAGTTAGTAAACCTTGTGACCTTAACTAATTTCACCTTTCCTTGAATTAGCGGGAAAAACATATTTTTTGGTAATGTTGTGAATATTGATGGTGTTATTTTTATGATAGATATTATAATTACAGTAATGTTATAAACATTGGTGACAGCAAAATAAGATAATGTAAAATATTTTCATAAATCAAAGAAAAGGGTAAACAGGCAAGACAGGCAGTACTTGTAATTGGCTCATTGGTGACTTAGTACAAGTGTACCCATCTTTGTTGAAAAAAACATTAAATGAGTAAACTCACATTGGGCATGGCATGTACGTACATGTATGTATGTGTATATGTATATATCTCTGTGTGTGTGTGTGTGTGTGTGTGTGTGTGTGTGTGTGTGTGTAATATATATTTTATATAATATAAAATATATATAATATATATAAATGTATGAATATATATAAATATATATATTATATATTTATAATTTATATATATATATACACACATACATATACGTATACATATATGTGTGTGTGTATGTGTGTCTTTGTGTTTGTTTAGCTTGGATATCACTCTTCTCTCTATTGTCTTTACAGCACTGTGGTGGACAGTCCCAAGCGAAAGCCATTGCCTAAGCTTGTGTATTCTTTGCTGTCAGAGAAGCAACTGAGACAGAAACTGAAAGATATAGGCCTCTCTGTACAAGGAGACAAGCCATTACTTGTTAGCAGACATCGCAGGTAAGCATGCTTAATTAACTGGAAAATTACTTTTAAGATTTTTTTTTTTAGTTTGTACATTATTTAAACAATAACTAATTAAATGTTCAGATTTTTTTTCAGTTCTGATGTTTATGGTAAACTTATACTATAATTTTGGGTGAATTCATATTGTTTGAGTATCATTATATAGTACTATAGTAGTGTAAGTATCTAGTACATTTTCTTGAGAAATGTTACTGACTGAAAAATACATATTTGATAGGTATACAACTCTCTACAATGCTGAATGTGATACTGCTGAGCCTCGTCCTGTATCTCAGCTGATACGGCAAATAGAAAGGGAGGAACGAGACGAAGCAAAGGTTGCAAATTCCCGCAGTGTAAGTGTCATTATATTGAAAATGTTATACTTGGACATTTTATAAAAGTAGATAGTGGAATCAATAGAAATTTTATTTTTGAACATGTTATGTATGTATATACCTATAATTACTTGTATCTAATGTAGAGTCTGTTCTTTCTTCTGAAATCTCTTTCTGGGCAAAAGAATAGAAGAAACTGTTGTAGTTATTTTCATTTCTATGCACCAGAATGATTTTTGTTAATCTCTGTCTTTGTTTTAAGCTGCCATACAAAACCACTTATTTTTCAGTTATGTAACACCTGATAACTACAATTTTTTCCACATTCTGGTTGAGAATTGTGTTACATTTAATGACATTCAGATACAGCTGATGTCGATATTAATTATTATAAATACCCTTGTTATTATTATCAATATTAATATTATTATTATTAAAGTAATTGTCATTGTTATTATTAGCATTATTATTGATGACATTATCATCATTATCATTTATAAAAATACATAATACAAATGTGTGTACAAATCAAACAAAGGGCTGAGCCTTTTTTAATGTTTTGGGTGTTTTCTGGTGCAATTTAAAAAAAAATGCTCAGGTTCCTACACAATATCATAGTATCATGTAGGGGGAAGTGGAGATGCACTATGTCCTATGAGTTGACTAATCCTCCACAGTCCTTTGTAATGTAAGTGTTAGTCACCCAACACAACTGGAAATTGGCCATGTATACAGCATATGAGTTGCCCTGAAACTGTCATGATTGCCACAAGATTTGTCTAAGTAATGCAAAAACAGTCCAAACATGGCTACACTAAAGGACTGTCCCTGGTGAAAGAGGATAAAATCAACTTCCTTTGCAAAAAATATTTCTATACTTTTTTTCTTTTCTTTCTTTCTTTCTTTCTTTCTTCCTTTCTTCCTTTCTTTCTTCCCAGAAAAGGTGATTTTCCTTGTGCATGAAATAACTCAATTGAAACTAAGTAAGAATATACAAATATTTAAATGGACTCCTAATATCATGTCAGCACAATTTTCTGAATTTTGCTTGATTTTTTTCAGAAAAAAAAAATCAGATCTGAAGTAAATTTAATTACCAAATAAGCAAAATGATTGTTGGAAACAGTAAAATTTATTGGATTTTTTTTTATATCTGATTTTTTTTGTTGCTTGAAGATATGATTTGGTTTGGATTTCATGAAAAAGCAAAATACAGGAAAAAGAATTACTTCAAAACTTGTTTGAGGACCATCTCGTATGGGGTGATGAATTAGATGAAATAGCCTTAAGAATGGTCTCTTACAAAAAAATAAAAAAATAAAAAATAAAAAAAATCATTAGATGTAAATGTCTTTATATTATGCATTCTTTAAAAAAATAGCTTTATAGAATTATTGATCCTAAAGATGGGCTCATAAAATGAACTATATCAGATGAGAAAAAATATGCAATAACTTAAATAAGATAATGCCTTTATTTCAAGTAGATTTTGTATAAAAAATTGTTGTTACTATTTTATTAGGAAAATAATATAGTGAACATGTATTCATTCACTAGAATGAAATGTGTCATATTTGAAAAAAAAAGAAAAAAAGAAAAAGAAAATAGCCCACATGTAATTTTATTGCCTTTGTGGTTAAGTTGCAGAAAGGAGTTTCTGTACCCCCTCCATTAGATTAACCATTAATCACCTTATTAGTAGCAGTATAAAATAAACAACTGTTTATGAATTAATATCAGTTGGTTTATATAATTAATGGAGAGGTTTCAAGATGTATCAGCATTTTTGGTCAGTGCTTGGCTGGCTTAAAAAATATAAGATCCAACAGTAGACGAAAAAAGAGCATACTGTATACATATCTCACCTGTTATAATTAAGATTAAAACCATAATAGTGGATAATCAGTTTATTAATTGTTAAGCTTTTCCTTGTATTGACCTCTAACCATGTGTGCCCAGGCTGTTAGTGTGAATCTGTTTATGCATATATTGTTTTTACTTGAGTAACCCCCTCAGTTCCTTGCTCATTGTTGTCATGGGGAGGGAGGGGGGGCTTAGGAGACGGAGACTGAGGCCCAGTGCAGGGGATCTCCACTACCTTGGATCTCAGCCCTTGCCTTAACTAATTTTACATGTTCTTTTCTGCTCCCCCTTTCCATTTCCTTCTCTTCTTTCTTCCTTTCTTCCGTCCACCTCCTAAGGTGTGAACGCTGTACTGAAAGAATGAAAGGCTAGCTTTGTGTCAGTCTTGAATGGCCTCAAGGAGCCTGGGCACAGTATTCCCTTTGTTTAATTACCTAACCCTTAATCCCTATGGGGACCCTGAGGGGTAGACCATTTTTTCTCCCCATTTATTTTGGGCAGTAATGCCTTACTGAAGATTTTTTATCTTTATTATTTTATCTTTATCATTTAGCCTGTCTAAATTTGATCTCTCTGGTTTCCCATCCCCTGCCTCTCCTTTGGCCACAGCTCAGACCATTGTTACTAATACTCCCTCTTCAATGTTTCCTGTTAACTCTATCCATTTCATGTCATCCACCCAGGTCATTACTCAACTCCAGAATACACCCACTCCTCTCTCCCTGTATTCTCCACTCCATTTCCAACTGCACAGTCTTCTTCACTGTCTACCCCTACCCCCCTTGTTACTACTATTCATTCCTTTTGTCCTCCTCCCTACAGTACTACCTCACTCCAAACCACCCCATCTTCCTCCCACCTTCGTCCTTCCAATCATTCACACCTTGTCATAGGTTCATCAGAGTCCTAAGCTTAAGCACTTTCTACCCTGGTAAATCACTCTTCCCTTAATACAACAAGGATTGGCAGAGTGAAAACAGCCTTCGAGCCTGCCATGTTGACTATGATGCAGTGGCAGTACAGTGCTACACTATTCCACCCAGAGGCCAGCATAAGTCCTACACCAAGATTAGCTTTGGTAGACATGACCTCCCCCATGAAGTTTATATTAGAGGAGTGTCCTGCCCCACCCGACTATATCAACCCCTTTCCTGTCAATGTCAGAAATGTCTACTATTGAGGGGCTGTATCCACTCAATGACTGCTGGCAGGGTCAAAGAAGCAAACAATTGTTTAGTGTGCACAGAGGAGAGCAGGCCATGTGTGGCATAGATCCTTGCTGCCCAGCATTTGGGCTCAATTTGCCATGACATGATTAGACACCACCTTAATGGGTTAAAAATTTTGTGCTAAAAAGGCCATTCAAAGAGGGACTAGTATTGTTATAATAATCATAGTTTTCAAATCCACATTATTCTGTAAACATTAAGATTAAGAATGGCACTAATAGACAGCACCTAAAACATAAAATAAGTAGTAATAAGAAGACTGTGAGTTGCACTCCAGAACACAAGAAGGAGAAAAAAATCAGTATGTTAGATAATTAATGATTCATAACATGTCAGTTCTAGTTTTGTACATAAGTGCATGGTTCTTGATTAGAGTGTGGAAGAAAAATGTACCAGGTGATATTCCAGAAATGATAATCATGTTATCTGAATAGATTATGTTTAGCAAGTGCAGCATTAGGATTTATATGATCCAAATGAGAACTAATTTTCATCATACATGTTGGTGGGGAAAACAAACTCTTTTGACTTAAAATGAAAATAATTTCTTAAGGACATAGACAGAATATATTTGTCAGAGTCATCCTTCTTTTTCTTTATAGATCTTTACTTATGATCGAAAAACGGCACCAGAGATCATCGAGAAAGAACAAAATGATTATCGTAAGTCAAAATTCTCTATTCATTTGTGTGAATGTGTTTGTATAACTATAGAGATTATAGAGATATCAAGTTGTGATACCTGTCCACCACAGCCTGGTTACATGGCATGTGTAGTAGGAAAAATTTGTGCTTTCTCTGCACATTCTATTCTCATACTGTAATGCCACCTTCTTAGCCTGCAAACACTTTAAACCCTACAATGATGGTACCAGAAATTTCTGGGTGTCACTCATTCCGGTGACTTCTGGCTGCCTTTTGGCCAGGGAGTCCACTGCGCATAGCGCAACTTCCTGCTCATCTCGCTTTAGCAAGTCATGATGCCTGTAGCTGTACTCATCATGATGAGTTGTTTTTTCATGACAACTATAGTCATGCCTGACAAGGCAAAATTGTCAAGACTATTCTTCGAGAATAGCCAACACCTCACTTGTTACCCAGAGAAGATATCCTGATTAACCTGATGCCGCCAGGGATGGCATGTACATGCACACCATTCCCACTATGGGTTTAGGTTATTATTTTTCTTTACACATAAACTGCCCCACAAAACAAGACACTATATTTTCCAGATGACATGGAGTTAAGAAGCCCATGTTTTATTATATTCTATAGATTTTCTATTTGACATAAGTTCAAAAGAAACCCAAAACTGGCAAAAGGACAGGCCAGTCTTCAAAATAATCCACAGAACAATCAACTCCTTCATTTAGCTGTATGACAGGGATTGATTTTCATGTTTCTAGCCCTAGATTTCTACATGCTCAGGTATTGTTAACTTTGGCTTTAACTTTACATGAATTTGAGGTGCTGAGTAAAAGGCACTTTAAGTTCTATAAGTAATTACATATTGTTTTTGTTAATTGCAAATATATTTGACAAGACCTGATAAACTATTCAAATATGAATCTGTTAGTAAAGAGAGGAAAAGGGAGAGGTCTGAGGGAAGGAGAGAGAGGGAAGGAGTGGGAGTGAGTCAGTGTGAAAGCTAGAACAAGAGCAAGAATAACAGAGAACATACACTCATTTTATTCTAGGGAATGAAGTTTTGATCTGATGGGTATGTATTAATTACCATGAAAAGAATTGTTAACATTCACATAAGATATTCTATCTATTCTTAGAAAGAAATGCAGATCTTAAAGTTTTAGATTTATAGATTTACTGGATAAACTTGTATCTTACATTGCTTAAGATGTGAAAGTAGACCAGATAATTTTTTTTTTAATCATGATAAATTGGAACTCTATATCAACCTCTATTACCAGTTTGTAAAACACTGTTTCCTGATGGATGAAATGTTACTCTACATTACCAACTTTGTTGTCAAATAAACAAATGCATATGTGTGTTTCATCAATAATTTATATAGACTGATTATTTCCTGTAATGTACATGTTGAATGTATGCATTTATTGGATTTATGTGCTATACTTTTTTGTTTTTTGTCTTTACTTAGCAGGTTCTATAAAAGTTTTAATTTTCACTAGTTCTTTTATTTTTATTTTGTTATTACCTTTGTAAATGCTGAATATAAAAAAATGTATAACTAGCAGTACATAGGCACTTAGCAGAGGCACACCCAGAACAGCTATAGGGTACAGTATATGCACATGCTTGGCTTTGGTTAGACTTTCTTTTTTCACTTTTCTTGTTTTTTTTATTTTTTATTCCAGTCAAGAAAAATGAAGACCATTTTTCCAAGTTAATTGCTGAGGTAAAGAAGAGAAAAGCAGATGCAAAGAGAGCAAAGGAGTCAAAGAAGGAGCAATCAGAGGAAGAGAATAGGAAACCTGAAGAAGGAAATAAGACTCTTAATGCAGAAGAAAGCAGGTTGCTTCCTAAAAGTACGAGTGAGGATGATGAGCTTGAAAGTAGAAATAATGGAAGTGAGAGAGAAAAGCATACAGGCAAAATTAAAAAGTTATTTTCTCTGTTTAACTCCAACACATTAACAGATGGTGTTCTAAGTGAACAAGAGAAATCCAAAGAAAATTGTGTAAATGATAGTACAGTTTCTGATGGTGAAATTCCTGAAAATAATAATGATAAAATCAGAAGTGCAACAGTAAATTCAGTTGAACCACCTCTGACATCTAGCACTGTGAATCCACAGAATGTTGATAAAGATAGATTTTCAACTGTAAAAAATATAATAGAAGAATCCTGTGAAAACAGTGTGGTAGAACCCAGTCCAGACTTTTTCTCTGGAAGTCCAGCAGGTTCACAATCAAGTTGTGGTAGCTTTAGTTTGCTCCAAGACTGTGATCCTCTCATACAAAACCCTGAGCTTCCAGGTATTTATCTTCTTTGATGGTGTAGTTGTCCAGCATACTTTACTGTCTTTCTTCAGTTGTATTAAGTGTGAATAATGGTGGTTTGCTCTTGTTGAAGATATTTAGTTATGAAGATTTCATGTCCTGCATGCTAAGAATATTATTTAAGTGATTTTGCTGTGCATCAAAATTTATGTATATTTTTTCTTTCATCTTTCAGAAGATGATTTGGAAGAAAATGAAGATGAAGATATAATTCCAGGCCATCAGCCTGAAAGCTGCTCAGATGACCAGGAATGTGTGAAGACCCCGAGCCCACAGTTAGGGAGAAGATCTACCAGAAGCAACAAGACAATTGGTGCACTCCCTGTGCCAGCCTTGCAGGAGTTGGGCCCAGAGACACAGTTGCTTTTGGAGGACTCTCAAGGGGACCCAGATTACCTGCCATCTCAACTGCTAGATGCTGTAGTGAGCTCTATTTATCTTTTTCAGTAGCAGTTTATTTATGCTTCCTTGATTTATATATTTCTAATAACCAATTGATGCTAGGATGGCAGGTACTATTGGGAGCAAAATTTTGACTATGAGGAGGTAAGTGAAAGGGAAGGGAAGAGGAAGGGAGGGGGAGATGATTAGATGGCATGTTCTAGTTATTATTGCTGTTATCATAATTTTCATTATCACTGTTCTAGGATGAATATAAGTAATTAGGATTTGGTTGTTTTACTGCACATTGCATGTTAATAGTAAAATGGCAGTAATTGCAGAGCAAATGAGGTGTGATATGGCAACAGTAAATTGCAAAGGTACCACACTTTCAGGTGTCCTCAGCAGCCTCACAGTCCAGAAAACACAGCTTTTGAAATTAGTTTGCAATTGATAAAAAATCATTATGGCATAAATGCCCCAGCTTGACAACATTCACACTTTCTCATAGAGGCAGAGGAGAACAAGTTTATCTCAGAGTGAGGAGGATATTCTCACTCTGAGGCAGTACAC